TTTCAGATGAAAACCCCACTAACTGTTGTTGGCGCTCCTTCCCGCCAACTTCACTTGTGCTCTCCTCTGACCCTGTCCTGTCGGCCTGTTCGGTCCATCAACTCCAGCCCAGCCTCCTCCCCACCATACTTTGACTCACTCAGAGAGCTGTGTGCGCTCACCTTTCAACCCACCACACCTTGACCTTCCAGGCCTGCCATCCCTCCCGGTCTTGGCAATAGGAACGCCTCTCCCTGCTGTCCAGGTCAGGGAGCCTTCAGCTTTACCCTAGGCGCCTCCTGCTGCCCCCAGACTTTGCATCCAGCCCCCCAGCAGTCCCCAGCATGCCGCCAGGTGGCAAGAGTGTGGGCTTGCAATCAGACAGACTGATTGAGACTCTGATTTCTCATGGCTCGGGCTAAGTGACCGAGCCTTCCTTAGCTTCCCACTTCTCACCTATACACAGGAGTGATCATATCAATCCAGATGGTGCTTAGCAGCATAGAGGAGAGCCTTCCTTGGTAAGCATTCGGTAACTGAGTTCTCGTGTCCCCATGCCTCTCTCCCACTCCCTCCCATGGCAGTTTGTATTCCACCCTCTGTTTTCACCTTGGCCTGGGGGCCTGGGGCTAGGGGGAGGGGGGAGGCAGCCTCTTTGGAGTGCCAGCCTCTGCCCTGCGTTCTACGTGCCAGCCCACAGGTTCACCCTCACAGAGCCAGGGCCCCTCCCGGAAGAGGGGCAGGACAGGAGCTGAGAGCAGAAGCTACACAGCACGGCTTGGGTCTGATGGATAACAGGCCCAGCTAAGACTCGGCAAAGACCAGTTGCCTTGAACCAGGTTCCCAAAGAAGCAGGAAACCACCGAGGACGGCAGGTTCTGTGAGGAAGGCAGGCCCCTTGGTCATAGTCATACAACAAGGGGGAGAGAAATCTACCAAAGAGACATACGCTTCTCGTGCAGCATTGAAAAACTATATACACCAAGACGGCGGTGACCCAGCCCGGTGACTCTCTGGGCAGGTAGTGAACCTTTCTCTGGTGGGTCCTGCGCGTCTCCTGGTAGATCTCTCTGCAGGGAGAGTTTGGCTAGTCAAACGTCTCTTCTCCCCCGCGGGTTCTCTTCTGAGCCCACGCTCCACGAGCCCAAGCCCTGAGTCAGGGACAGGAGCTGTCCTGGCCATGGGACAGCAGGCAGGATGGTAAGGAGTAGATGAAAAGGGAAGGTTTTGTGTGTTTGACAGAAAGAGTGCAGGGCCGTGGAGTGTGCATGGGGCTTTGACTGGCTGCTGCTGGTCCCTCGGAGGTGAACACGAGCTCGTTTCTGTTGATGTGTGTTCCTCTGGGACAAGCCGAGGACGGTCACCCTGTGAGCGCCGCCCCTGTACGGCGAGAAAGCTCCTCCAGAGACCAGACTGCAGGCCTCTGGCTGTGCAAATAGCCCTGCAGCTGCAGGGAAACTGACCATGCTGTGGCTCCAACACACAGTCCCTTCTAGTTAACGCTTCCCTGGTGGTTTAAAACCCAGGGAGTTTGCAAGTGTAGTCATTGGCTCTGCGTTTGGCTCCGAGTTTGGGAAGGGAGAAGCCCCTGGAACCAGCTGGGCTGTAGCAGGACAGTCAGCATCCCTGTGACCAGCCCAGTTGTCACCTGCACACCCTTAGAGGGCTGTAGCACAACCCTCCACCCCCACCCCACCGAATCAGGGAGCACTGATGGGCGCCTCGGAGTTAGGGCCTCCAAAATCATTGGTAGCCTAGTAAGTTATGCGTTGGGCGGCTAACCATAAGGTCTGCAGTTCAAAACCGCCAGCTACTCTGCAGTTCAAAACCGCCAGCGTGGGAGAAAGATGAGGCTGTCTGCTCCTATAAGACTTAACAGCCCTGGAAACCCACAGGGGCACTTCTGCAATATGCTGCAGGGTTGCTGTAAGTCAGAATAGATGTGGTGGCCCCAGGGGGGCTGTGGGCTCAACTTTGGGCTGCTATAACTGCAAGGTCGTCCGTTTAGACCCCTCATCCCCTCCGTCAGAGAAAAATGAGTCTGTCAGCTCCCCAGAACAGTCTACCGTCTCAGAAACCCTCTACAACAGCAGTTCTCAACCTGTGGGTCGCAACCCCTTTGGAGGTCGAACGACCCTTTCACAGGGGTCGCCTAAGACCATCGGAAAACACACAAATATTTCACAATATATAATTACATTTGTTTTGTGATTAATCACTATGTTTAATAATGTTTAATTATGTTCAATTTGTAACAATGAAAATACATCTTGCATATCAGATATTACACAATTCATAACAGTAGAAAAATGACAGTGATGAAGTAGCAACAAACGTAATTGTATGAGGAACTGTCTGAAAGAGCCACTGCATCAGGAAGGTGGGGCTCCCCTGCTCTGCAGGATGGCCGTGAGTCCAGTCCAGTCAGTGACGGGGCGTGGGGTGTTGTTCTGCTGTGCAGTGTCGTTATTTCTTCCACCCCTGAGGAACCCTGGAGGTGTAGTGATTACAAATTGGGTTGCCAACCACAAGATTAGCGGTTCAAACCCACCAACCACTCCATAGGC